GGCCGTTGCCATGGAAATGTGGGCTACTTCCCGCCGGAGTACGTCAAGCCCATTTACCACTGCCAATGACCTGTCGACTCGATCAAGTACTCAGCCATTCCCACAGGTTCATCAATGAGCCATCTTGACCCCGCCCCTCACACTGCTCCCTTGCTCTGCACTTGCCCATTCACTTTTGGAGCAGACACTTGATGAGCTTCAACTGAACTGCTTATTATATAACGGACTCCTCCCATTTCCCCGTGATGCCACCTGTCAATCACGAACCTTGTCCAAGCAGCCACTACAGGCTCCTCAAACACGTGATCCCACAGCTCCACTGCTCTTTAAATGTAAAAAAGGAAAAAAAAATGAAGATATGGACCTAGACACTGTGGAGAACTCACATACATATACACACACAGACAGACAAACCCACACACACACATACTCCCAGGCGCAGTCATTTATTACAGCTTATCTGCACTGGTGCAGGCTACATAAAAGCAACGCACACACTCTCTCACACTAACCTGATGAAAAAAAGAACGAGTCCCATGGGAGGTTGTGGAGCAAGGGCAGGGCTTTCTCTGCTGTAGACGAGTCAGGATTGGCTCCAGTATTTTCCCATTGCTCCCAAAAGGAGATCTGCTGAGCTGAGCAGAGAGACACAGAGTCATTGTCTTGTGAATTTTTGGGCCAGACACTCAGAGGATACTGACACAGCAGATTCCTCTCTTGCTGGGCTGGTGTGTGTGTGTGTGTGTGTGTGTGTGTGTGTGTGTGTGTGTGTGTGTGAGTATTTGTGTATGTTTATGTTTATGTGTGTGTGTGTGTTTGTGTGTGTGTGCGCGTGGGTTTGTATGTAAAATATGGGTCTGAACACATGTAAACCTGCAAATTTTATGTATGTGGATGGTTATTATGTGTGATTGGGAAAGTGAATGCATGTGCGTGAGTTTGGGGGTTGGGTTGGTGTGTGTGTGTGTGTGTGTGTGTGTGTGTGTGTGTGTGTGTGTGTGTGTGTGTGTGTGTGTGTGCGCATGTGCTCTGTGGACCAATTAAGGAGCTTACTGTGTTTTAAATGACCAATGAGATGAATGCTGCCCAGACGACACTTTGTTTAAAAATACACAGCTCATAAAGTAATGCGCTCATTTGATTGTTTCTATGTATTTATTCTTAGTCGTGTGTAATCTTAAAATACATATATTACAAGTAAGATTAAACATTGTAAAGAGGCTTTGTTTTTGTTTCTGTTGCAACAAATAGTTTAAGAAAACCACATTTTATGTGATTAGCAGTAACAACTTGGACCAGTCTTCCTTCACCTGTAATGACAAATCATTTAAATAAAGTGATACATTTACCTCTTTGAACATGAAGCTTGGATATTATTGTTCAATAACAAATACATTTCTCTTATATGAATATGTCGATTGAAATATAATACGAATAATACACAAAATAAATAAGAGAATTTAAACTGCGAAATAAATAACAACTAGAAACACAGACACAAAGGTAAGTTATATGAGGTTCCACTTGATAGCATGTGTGAGCCCCTCTGTGGGCTGTAGCAAAAATATGATATATACAGCTTGTATATCGAGAGATGGGCAGTATTTTATGATATATGTATTTTAAATACGCATATCAAATACAAAATGGGATTTTATAATTTGTAGTTGATAGGGTTGAGGGAAATAGCTTAATATTTTGTATGAAAATACTTAAGTGTGTTTTTGATTTTGTAGTTATTAAAAATAATATTAAAAATATTAAATACTTTGTGAGAAGTCTACGTTATCACATTATAAAAAGGCTGCCTGATTAGTGCCTACTCAATAATTTGCCCAGACTTGTTGGGATCAGATCAGAATATTGATCCAGTCCTGAAGAAGAAAGTCAAGGTGAGAAACGTGTAGGTCGCCAGCTTTCAATTCTATAATTCTACAATTCTTAACAGTTCCTGTTAAGTTTTAGTGTTAGTTTTAGTTGCCTCTAAGCTAAATCTTTTACCACTTTATTTAATGTTCTTGCTAATTATTTTACCTAAGTAGCAGCCCTGATAGTTAATGTTAGCTTGCTACTTTCATCATATGTTCAGTTAATGTCAGTTAGCAGGAAAAAAAGTGTTTCAGAGTTGTTACTTTACAACATTACTTATAATGCCACAAGATGATGTAACTTTTTTAATGCAGCCGTGTGCCTCATTGTCATTAACAACATTGTGCTACAACGCCATTAAGCAGCAGGTTGTCAAACCATCCACCACGCGGGTTTGTTGAAGCTCAGATGATGCAGAGGAGGCCCTTCATTACCAAACACCAAGTTAACTAAATTAGGATACAATTATGTGTTATTAGCAAACTGTTTTTTTTTTAAACATTAAACTGTTATGGTTACTTCAAAACTAACCTTCATCTGGGTGATCAAAGGGATATGTGAATATTTGATTTGTTAACTGGTTGCCTGTCAGATTTATCAATTGACTCATTAGGCAGAGAAAAGCTGTTGCTCTCAAACATCCACTTAATCAGCTGAGTCAGTGCACCGGTGAAGGGACAGGTAAAATAGGCCGATAGTTGGAGTTTTGCAAAGTGATTTTATAGTACCTGGGAAAAGTGCTAAACATTTGTTTTGATACATGGCATAGCTGCTGTATTTAGTTCATTTTTATACACTTTTAGGTAAAATTAGGTTATTTGGTGTCTTATTTTAAAATACATGTATCTTTGACAATGCATGCTTATTTCATATTTCTACAGTTTCAGACAGTGGTCACTGTTCTTCTTTGCTGATGCAGAGAGATCTCATTGGCATGTGATTCTTGCTGTCTACAAAAGGTGTGAGAGTGTTTATGTACGTTCCACTGAATGCCACTTCAGAGTGACACACACACACACACACACACAATATATGTCATTATGTGTGAAAGTTGACTGCTTTTCCACGATTCATGTTTGAGGTGAGGCAGGAAACAAGGTTACATCCTATGATTACCCTGGACTGAATCACTTTTGTTTTCTTTCACTCCTTTGTCTCCTCTTATTTGTTTTTAACAAATCACTTTTTTGCATTTCTCCTGACAGAGTCACCTCTAGCTTGCCACTGACAGTTAGTCAATAAACTACCGGCATCCAGCAGGGGAGAAGAAGAAAGGAGTTAAAGGTGTACCAGAAATAGCACTGCTGTTCTCTTCCACCACTCTGTCTTGAACCTGCTGAGTCACTTTGAAGTGTGTGTGTGCGGTAGAGCTGTACGTGTGTGGCACATTTTTAATGACGTATTTGTGTCATACACTTGAAATGAGACAACATAAGAATACTACGTCACTGACACGATGTCACAAAGTAAAACGCTCAGTGGAAAGAGGCAGATGAGACAGAGGAAGTCAGACGCACAGACACAAAGTGGAGTTATGAGACGGGATAGAGAATGAAACAATGTTATAGCGTGAAAAATGGGGAACAATGAGAGATAAAAACAGAGAGGAAGAAGCAGTGTACTGATGAAAGATGGAAATGCAAGGTGAGGAATCCGTGTCAACACTACGAATGAGAGTGACAGTAAACGAGCAAGCGGCGGGGAAGGTATGTGAGCTGTGACATCAGTGATGGCGTTAGAAGCAATAGAGTTGAACCAGTTCGACTAACTGACAGCCTGGGGTTGTTTAGGCCATCGTGAAAGGTGAAATAATCACAATCAGCCTGCAAACCAGCCAAAACCACTCTGTCAACCAGCAGGACAGTTTAACAGATAATTATTCATTTACTGCCAATCAGCAAGTGAATAAATCAAAAGATACGATGGGCCGTCGATGAATTAACAAGATCCCAGCTACTGATTTACCCAGTAATTTTCACAAACATGTGATCAGCAGTGACACAGAGAGAGACAGACCGACAGAATGTCGGACATATCTAACGGCGCTGGGAGCCCTCTCTGTGCCAAAGCAGTGCAGAAATCAGTTGATTGCATTTTTGATGCAGTCAGTCTGAAAGCTGTCCTCTTAGCTTTTCAGGAAATCTTTCAAGCAAGTTGCTCAACACCGCTTTTGGTAAATTCAAGTGCCTTGAGTTCCTCATGCCAGTTTCTTCAAACAAAACAGTGAGATTTATAGTTTCATTATTTTTGTAAAACTGGATGAGCCTATCCTGTCTTTTTAGTATGGCAGAACAGAAGTGGAAACATAAAACCTGAAACTTCTGCAGCAAAACTAACATCCCATCATTGGGTACTGCTACTTCATCTGTGCAACAAATACGTACTCGCACGCAACTGCAAAGATCAAACCAGGCTGCATCATCTATAATCAAGTAAGGTGCAGTGGTCTTACCTCTTTGAAGTAATTTAAAGTTCAGTTAAGGTTATTAAAATATGTTTTGTAACCTTGAGGCTTTATGTTTGATTTGGCTGCCGTCTTTGTGAAGACTTGTTTTATTGTCTGTTATTTAAAAGTATTGCGTAAATGTAACTGTAATTAACTTATTAGTATTATCAAGTTTGCGGATTTTGTTTAAGCTTTTAAGTTTGAGACGCACTGAGTGTTCCTCGGTTCCTACAGAACATCACAGTCATACTTAAGAGTTCAAAGGTCAGTCATGATGCCCCAGGCAGGTGAACGTGTAGTTTTTAGTTTGAGACACTATACTTTCATATTTTTTAAGAAAATGAAAAGTATTATGTTCTGATCCCTACAATAAATGTTTTTTAGATCTCATTATTCCCAAAATAGTCTCTCCATCTTGTTTTTGCTTTTCTATAAACTAATTATGTGCTTCATTTGGACCTTTCCTAAACACATACTTCTCCCTGCTGATCCTGGCAAGAGTTAGGAAACATGACAGAACAGGTAAAACAGCATGGTGTAGTTATGTAGGCTATGATCTGCTGGTGTCTCATGTGTGTAAAGGATGAACTAGCAGCCTAATGATTTAGTGGGGTTTTGAAAAGGGAGGGGTGGGGTCGTTAATCATTTAATTTCTCCCGTCAAACCTATTTCACGCCACAGCTTAGACATATAGTTGGGAAGCCCTACCGGTCAGGTGACAAAGGTGTGTCTGGGTTGCTGTTTTGCCTGTCAGGGTCACACCTGTCGGGCGGTGCTACCGGCGGGGTGTCACTCACTTACTCCTCACTCTATCACTTGCTCTCTGACTGGCCGGTCAACTCCTTCAAGACAAGAATGGTAATGGCTGAGTGTTAATGCACCATGGCTGCAAAAAGGAATTGCAAGCGAAGTAGGGAAATACACGGCGTAATGTGTAACAAGTCCGGGGCTAAACTGCTCAGCTTTTTAAACCACAGAGGAGGAATTAAAACGCCTTTAAGCAGCTTTCTTTAGCAAAAGTCTGGAGGAGTTTAGAGGAACTGGCCCGTGAAGCTTTTACAGCTGTTTCTTGTTAGGTAACCTATTTTGTGCTCGAGACATGGCTCTGTCCCAGATACAGTGCCTGGATGATAACCATGTGAACCCGCGGACGCACGAGTCCAAACCGGAGTTCCTGTACTGCGAAGACCAGCGGCTCGCGCTGGAGGCTCTCCTGAAGGATGGTCGCGAGGCGTTTTTTAAGTACTTGGAGGCTCGTGGCCTGCGGGGTTTCCTCTCAGACCCCGAGCTGGAAACTCTCACCGGGGCGGCGGAGCCCTATGACCCGGGCTCGGCGCTCTTCCCGGAGAGTGCCGAGGACGACGAGCCCCCGCTGTCACTGCACTACTGGCCCGAGCTGTCGGACACGTCCGTCCCGCAGATGGACCTGGGCTGGCCGGACAGCGATGCTTACCGGGGAGTGACGCGCACTACCATGTACTCGCAGCCACCGCTCGAAGGTCAGGCGCATATCAAAGAGATTGTGAGAAAAATGATTGCGCAGGCGCAAAAGGTATGTTGGGCCTTTAACGGACAAAATAGTTTGTTTGTTTGTTTAAGCCAGATTCTAATGTTTACTTTCTAATTAAATTAAGCAACTACAGTTAACATATAAACCAAAGTAGTGATAAAGATTAACCAGTTGAGATGTCTGTCTCTGCTTTCTGAAAAGATCAATAGACCTAATCGGCGCATTTAGTCAATGTTTGTGTCTGTTGTAGGCTTACGGTCTTTGCTCTCCCGTGGTGCTTCTGAATCAATGAATGTCCGGGGTCAATGAATGTCTGGTGCTGGTTTCAATTCATTCTTACAAGCTTCTATGAATTTGAGGATTTATCAGCCCTTACTGAAGATTAACTATAATGTTGACATGACTGTTACCATGTTACTCAGTCAGTCTAAGGTCAGAGTACAGACTGTTGACCAAAAGATACAAACAAGACAAGAGTAAAGTGCAACTCGATTAAGCGGCTTTATCAGAGGAAAATAAGTGCTGCACAGCTGTAACTGTGGCTAGCAAAATGCAAGCATTTGTGTTATGTATATTTGCATGAATGTGTGCATTACTGCCAGGCCATGTGTGTATCAGTGTGCGCTTCTGTCTGTTCATGCAGCTGAAGGCCTACATTTATGGCATGTTTTATTTCTTACCAGCTGTTCACAGTGAACATGTATTATTTGACTGAAACATCCTATGGGCATTATCTTGAAAAGCTTCTGACAGAAATAAAAAGCCCACATAACTTCCCTTAAGGAAAACTTGTGTTATCATATTTTACTTAAACCTGTGGAACAAGTTGAATCTTAGTGGTTTTGGCAGAAATAGGGTTTACATTTTGACTTCATGCCTGAGGCTTGATCCAACTGCATTGTAATAAAGTGTGTTTATGTATTTACTTATTTGCATTCATAATCTGTGCACTGGTATGTGTGCATTTGTGAAAGAGTTTTTTCCCGTGTGTGATGTTTGTTGTCTGTATTTGTCTCCAGGTAATAGCAGTCGTAATGGATGTTTTCACTGATGTTGACATCTTTAGAGATTTGCTCGATGCGGGTTTTAAGAGGAGGGTTTCTGTCTACATCCTGTTGGACCGTACAACACTACCTCATTTCCTGTCCATGTGTCAGAGGGCCAACATGCATGCTGGACACCTCAAGGTGAGCCACTTGATCCTTTTGCATAGCAGCCTGACATTTAGCATCAAGTATCAAAGAGCAAGGCTTGGCTGTACTTCAAAAATAAAACAAGTCTAAAAAATCTAAATCCACCATTCTTCACCTGGGGAGTCAGTATATGATTAGTTACTTGCATGGCAATATTCTCATTTATTTTTATAGTTCTTTTGCACAAGTGAGCACTGTATCCCGATGGTTAAAAACATTAACATCCATCCTGTGAGAATAATACCCAAATTTCATGGCACTCTGGCCAGTAATTGCCACGATAACCAGAATAATAAGCTAGCAGAAAATGAAAGTTCGTTATCAATTGTGTCAGGATAGAATGTTATAGTTCCTTCATAGAAAGTAGATGTTTTACTGATGGAGAGGGTTCTTTGACCATTGAATAGCAGGGGTGGGGGATTTCCAGATGTTCGGAAAATGCAGAGATGATCACCTCGTTTTGAGACTGGAAAAACATCTGTAAGGCACTGTTGTGTGTAACAAAATAAGTACAGATTATCTTGTGAAAGAACGACAAGCAATTGAAGTCAAGAGATGTTTGTTATGCAGGGATGAGTGAAAGCACATGCCATCTCTCACTTTCTCTATCTGTCTCTCTCTCACTCACACACACACTTAACCCGCAAACCCTTCCAGCTGGCACTGTACCATAGATTAATCTTTTACCTCCTTGTGTTTGCAGTCAGTGTTTTATTTCATAATTGGCTGGTTACCATAACACATTTTGGACATGTAGGGACGCATACAAGTGAGTTACAGGGAAAACTATATCTTCAGTGAATTGTATTCTTAAGACATAAAGCTGCCAAGCTGCCAAGCCATGATTGTTTTTACTCAGGTCAGCCAATATGAACATCTCAGGTGAACTGCAGTTGATAGGCATTTAATGGTTCGCATCAACTGTGCATTATTTGATAGGTGGAAGTCTGACTTGTTCGCCTCAGTGCTGCATTGTTTCTACTTCCTCCGGGGAGATCATTTAGAAAATCCACCATACAGCAGAGGCAGTGTTGGAAAAGTCCCACAGTGGCTCCCAATGTGCTTAACAAATTATGTTCAAAGTGATATTTAATGTTAGGGTATACTGTGGTTTAGATCTGTAGATGAGACACTGAAGATGCAGAAAGCTGTTAAGGGCCTCAAGAGATGTTAAGAAACACAGACGGACACAAGGTGTTTGCACATGGGGTGGGCACACAAGTGCAAATTGTGTGGACAGACATATTGACACTAACACACACACACACACAGATCATACAGATATACAAGAAGAGGCACACACTCCCCTCTGCCAGTTAATGCCTTGGAGGAATTATTAAAGTGGAACACAAAGGCAGTAACAGCCTGAAGGACTTCCAATACCATCTGTATCTGGATTACAAGCAGAGAATGTCACAGTCTCATGTGGCAGTTTGCACTTTATAAATATGAACATATGACATATAACTGAGGAGGCTGTTGGATGTTTTATTTTCATTGCAACTGCATCTGGCATTTTGTTGTTTTTACTTACATTTTTAGGGATGTCTCAATCACGTTTTCTTAATGCAATACAGCTGCATACATAGATACAGCTGCGCAGCGCACACGTAGCCTCAAGTTTCCCTACATTTAGTCAAATATTATAAAGCAGAATGCCTATGCATTAAGTAAACACAGCTTTCCTTTAAGGTTGCCCAAAACTGCCTGTGATAACAGATCCTTTAAGGGATCTGTTATCACAGGCAGCTTTGGGCAGGATTTTAGTTCACATGCAGTTGTCAACACGGCACAGGTGTACCACTCAGGCATCATGCACCTGCAGAAATACATGCAAAGCCATCATTGTTTTAACCCAAACCGACTCATATCACATACTGACGCTTGTTGTTACATGCTGTGTGTTAACTAATGGATCTTTTGTTTAAGTGGAGCTAAAGGAGGTGAGTTTGATAGCTGGCACACTTAGAGCACACTTGCCAAATGTTTTATGTATCCATATCTCCGTTATAAACTGCATGTGTGCTGGGGTCTGGCCTTTAGAGCACAGGAGAGATTTATTGTGATAAATCAAACACTGACACTTTGGTTCACTGGAGAGCAGCCTGTGGAGCAGATCCTATTCTGCCAAAGAAAACTGTATAACCATTTAAGTCTCTGACAGAAGCCTGTCACTGCGGTTATTATGTAGCATCCCAGAAAATGGGACAGCCCAGTGTACAGCTGTACAAGTGGCAGTTACGATCCAGAACTGTGACGAGCAGCTAACCCAAAATCTCACAAAGTGATGAGTCTGTTGGGGGGGGGCAAGCCGAGGCCACTGAATGAGTGGATGATTGGCAAGGAGAGTAGAAGGCATGTGTGACAGCTTGAAGACAGCTTGAGGTTTTACTGTGAGTGACACAAGGGAGTGTAGGTGGAGGAGTGGATAGACAGGCAGGGAGGAGGAGCTGATGAGTGGTGAGATGAGTATGTCAGCAAAGAGGTGCCACATTCTTCTTACTCCTCAGTTGTCTGAGGGGGTTTCTGGACAGGTTGCAACTCTAAAACACCCTTCACTCAGTCAGATGTGGACTGAGAGTATTTTTATAAAATGAACAAAACCATGAGTTGGGTTGAGGCTACAGTATGCTTTGTTATTAAAGCTTGTTTGGTGGTATTGTCACATAAAATCCTTTCTACGACAGCTGAAGCGCTCATCATCCAAAGTTTGCATACACACAGTAATGCAGCTTGCTGGTTTGATCTAATCAGTTTGCCAGAAGAATGTACCGAGGGAGAGAGAAAGTTAAGGGTGGATCCAAAGGAATGAGGAAAACAAGTGTTTCTACTGTGAGTCAAGCCACGCCAGGAATAATTTTCTTCATCAAGACAACTGGTTATATTCCCAGAGTTTTGGCAGGATAGGACTGACAGTTAATCGGACCAAACAGCAGAACCACACCTCACAGAATCTCTGCCTCTAGAAGATTTGCCCATTTAACTTTATATAATAAGAAACACAAACCAAAAACAGACAATATAGCCTCACTAAAGCTGTGACTTAAAACTTATTTTCACATTTCACATTGTAGCTCTAGCAGTTTTTGTTGCGTTGTTTTCAATCCCAGATTTCTTTTCACTTTTATTAACAGAATAAATTAACCCCATAAATAAGGCATATTATTTATTAACACCAAAGAGGTACCATTGGCTGATCACCAACATAAACGAAACGCCTTGTAAAAACCTACCACATGGTATGTACTGACTTCACAAGTTTACCACTCAAACACATAAATAACTGTGGACAAACAATGGATTATGGGATACCAAGGTCTGCAGTAGATGTCCTCCAAATTCAATTAAAAATGGGCATTTGTCTATGGCAGGAGCTTTTGAAATGTGGACTGAAAATGGTATGCAGTTTTTGTATTTTTGAGAATCATTAAGGATAGATATTGGTGAGCACGGCTGTAAAGAAATAAAAGAATACACAAGAAGTGAGTCAGAGGGAGAGAACTGACAAAAACTTGAAAGAGAAAGTGCTTGAGGTACCTTTCATGTGTAATCTCTTATCTGAAACACTGTTAGAGTCTTTTATGACTACAGCACCATAAACTGTACCACCCATGTGTTACCATGAATGTTAGTTAAATGTTAGCACTGCCTCTCAATAAAGATATCGTTGTAAAGCTATACAGACACACATGTAGGAAAATTTAGGAAACATTCTAAGTGGACAGAGGATTGACCTCTGCGGGACACCAGACTTAAATCTCAGGGACGCCTGATACGGAAGTATTTTTTTACAGTATACATGGTGTTTATTTCACAGTGCAAAATATGCAAGTTCCAACAAAAACTAACACAGATAAGTCTAGTAGGAGGATGGTGTGGTCCATGGCGTTTAATGCAGCACTCGAATCAAGTAAAGACAAGACAGAGATTAGATCAGAATCCATGGCCATTAAAAATAATCACAGTACTTACATTGGATGTGGTATGGGTAATTGCTCAGCAGTTTGAAAATGTGGAGTCATTTGCTGAAATTAAGGGCGGCGACAGTTGACTACAGCTGCTTGTTTATATGGGTAGATGCGCACATGAGAAACTTCATCATAGTTCAAGAAATTTGACTTAATTTGTTGTCATTATTATCTGTTTACCTAACATGTGCTTTACAGATGATATTGGGTCTCATTTCTGATATGTGCACATGCAAGGTTACCGTCGGATACATGACACATGCTCACCGGCCATTTTTGTGTTTACCACTTTGCGTATGTTGGGGAATAAGAATCATGCATCAGTTTAGTTGAATATTTTAATTATGACTATAACTGATGAAGATTAAATGGTGTTATTTTCACAGTTATTGAATACATTTGCCCATGCATTAGTAAATTAATGGTTTTAGATATTGTTGTTTATTAAAGGTAATTAAAGGTATTTTTAACGTATGCTGTTTTAATATGATATGCATTTAATTTAAAATTGTGTGTGTGTGTGTACATTTTGTAAGACAGCTGGGTCTTAATCATTTGTGCCTATTGTCTGAGGCATTTCAAAATTTATTTGCAACAAGTACAAACAAATTCATGTAAGAAAATATTGACGAATCACAGATTTGTGCCTATTTGGGAGCTTGTAAGCACACTTTCTTTAAGAATTGAAACACATTACAGTAAAAAAGGAATGGTCACCAAATAATTTTTTTTCTTTGTACGCTTGAACCTAGAGTGTTTGTTGTGATTGTATTTTCTGTATAAGTTTCCTGTTTTCTTGACTTATATATAGAATGTCGCAATGTTACGTGAAAGTACAAGATTAAGTCATCTGACATTGTTTTACAGCCTTATATATAACACAGGTTACAGATTATAAAGTGTGTGTGTGTGTGTGTGTGTGTGTGTGTGTGTGTGTGTGTGTGTGTGTGTGTGTGTGTGTGTGTGTGTGTGTGTGTGTGTGTGTGTGTGTGTGTGTGTGTGTGTGTGTGTGTGTGTGTGTGTGTGTGTGTGTGTGTGTGTGTGTGTGTGTGTGTGTGTCCATGTGTGTGTTGCAGCACCTTCGTGTACGCTGCACAGAAGGAGTGGAGTTCTACACTCGGTCCTCCACCAAGGTCAGAGGGCGAATGGGACACAGATTCATGTTTATTGACGGAGACAAAGCTGTGTCTGGGTCGTACAGGTCAGTGCACTTTGTGTGTGTGTGTGCGCGTGCGTGTGTTTGTCAGTGAGCGTGAGAAAGAGAGTAGCCGTGAAAGAAACAGAAAATATCTTTGTGCCCCACCTATCTTTGTTTTATGTGAGCGTGGCACAGATAAATAATGCACTGTAATGTTCAGTGGCATTCTCTACATACTAGACAAACGGGTTGTAAATGTATCCAATGCACAAGAGAAATAAACGCATGTACGGAGCAGTCCCAAAGTAACTGGACAATGACACGCTCACTTTTGGCTCAGATTAATTTGAGGAAGGTACCATGCACATCAGACGAACTGTGTAGGAATTGTAGTCTAAATTGTAGTTCAGTTATTGCTGTTTACTTGGCCTATATATATTTTCAATGAAGATGTGTTTGCTTTGTAATGTCCTGGTGTACTTTAAAGTTGTTTTTTGCTGTGTTTTCTTTAGTTTCACTTGGATGTCATCGCGGCTGGAGAGAAATCTCATCACTGTGGTTACAGGCCAGGCAGTGGAGGCCTTCGACAGGCTGTTTCGTTTCCTCTATGCGACCTCCAATTTGGTGGATGTCCGGCAGGTCGCCACGGAGCCTGAACCGGAAGTGGAGCCCCCCCCACAGCCAGCCGCAGTGACCCCTCCTTCTGCTGCTCTTGCTAGGAAACTATACAACCCCAAGTATGCCCTGGTTACTTTAGGCAACCCCAGTCCCACCCCTCCCGCTGGCCAAAACAGCACCAAAGAGACTCAAAATCCAGAGGTCCCAGAAACCAAGAAAAGGGGACGGAGGAGAGCTAGTAAGGAAGCAATAAAGGAGGCTCCCCCCATCCACCCTGGACTCACCAACCTTGAGAAAGCATGTTTGATGTCATATCTGCCCATCTGGCCAGAGCCTGACCCCCCCAGTGATGTAATTGGGTTCATTAACATTCGTGATTCCAGCAAACCAACTCAGTTCCACCTACAGAGATCTGAGATGTTTGAAACCAGCCAAGCGATCAGGTTTAGCAGTCCATTCAGTATGCCTAAGGAAACCCTGCCAGAGGTCGCCAAGCCCAGGAAGCCTACTGACAAACATGAGGAAATGAATAAACTCCAACCAGCACAAGACAACACCAAGGCTGAGGAGGTGGTGGTAGACAGAGCTCAGCCATCGCAACTCAATGCAGGGCCTGGTGACATTGAAAGTAAAACAGAGGCAGGTGAACACAAATCACCTGCATCTGGGCCTAAGTGTGAATCTGACACTACTAAGACTCTCAACACTGAGAATAAACTGCATTCCAACACACCCACCAACCAAGAAGCAAGCCACAACACCACGCCTCACCTCAATGCACACGCACCTCCCCAATCCAGCAGCAAAGCATCCGGTCCTAACGCTGGGAGGCCGTCACACACCACACAAACTGTCACCACACATCCTCAGCCCGACTCCCTCACTGGACTGAACACCAAAAAAGAAGCAGAAACTAGTTTAAGATTACAGAGTGCTGTTGTGCAAACCACACGCAAGCTGAAGCCAGACAGTACACAACCTGCACTACCGCGTGGTCCCACTAACTGGAACTCAAACACAGAACAACGCGCACAAACAAAGACGATGTTGCCACATTCAGATTCACACGCAGAGGCTGTTCACGTGCAGCCACAAAACTCCTCTGAAATGACTCTTAACACCCAGAATCCCACCGTCAACCACTACGTGTCCTCCTCCTCTACCTCTGCCATGTGCCCTCAGTTTGTCAGCTCTTCCTCTCTTTCTGAAAATAACCATGGCTCCATTACTACAAGCACAGCTACCAGTGCCTGTGCTCCTTCCTCCATCAGCTCTCCTCCTTCCCTTCCTCATCTTACCTCTTCTTCTACAACTCTTAATCCTCCCCTCCCTTCCGCCTCAGCATCCCCATCTTTGACCTCAACTCCCCCAATCCCTAAACCTCGTACCATACAGCTGGTCATCAAAGACGGCGTCATCAGCAATGAACAGAAGCTGCCGGAGTTCAGTGTTGTCCGGAGGCCTGCGACCAGCACAGGGGCGCTAGGGGTCCACAATGAGTCTGCTGTAGCAAACGTGGTGCAGACATTGCCTGAAAAAGACCTTGAGACTGTCCCCGAACTGCAGAACAACAGTGACAGGTCAACAGGAGCACAAAAAGATGCAGAGAACACAGGAAATATTGGAGAAGCTCCACAACAAAAACAGAGTGGGACTTCCCACGAGACCAAGAATGAGAAAGCAGTTGGACTACATGGTGACAGAGCAGGAATGCAAGTGGTTGCTGGAACCAACCTAGAAGCCCAGTCCGATGTTTTTATTTCTGATGCACCAAAGGCAGAGAGTGTCAATATTCAAGAAATAATTCCAGAAGATGTTGAGCCCAAGACTTTGAAGTCAATAGACTGCAAATCAACCCCACAGACAGACTGTGCCACCACAGTACAGACGGGGACCAAGGCCCCGGGTAGAGCTGTAACAGGCTATGAGTTGGCTGAAGTGCCAAATGAAAACGGTAAGAGTGTGACACAATGCAAAATATATCAAGCAAGAGCCCTTGAACTTCAGAGAATATCATATAGTGAATTGACTCCACATGATATAGGTATATTAGAGACTGTGGACTCTTCAAAAGCTCCATCACACACTCCTGTTTCTGCCACACGCAACCCATTCATATCAAAAAACAGTGCTGGTGAGAGCACACACACATCTGCTGCAAACACACACGGCCAGCAAGCTAATCCAAGTCTCACACCAGCACACTGCACAGACAGTATGCCAAATACTGCAAAACGTAACACACACAACGCCTTTCAAGAACAAATTCCTAAAGCACGGGGAAGCATGCACAAACCTGAAAAAACCCTGCACTTACATCTCTCCGACACACAATTGCCCGACTTGTTTCCACCCACGCCCGATGGAGAATCGCGACCGATCCCAGCTCTCACACGCACTCCAACTCCAGACGGATTTTTTCCACGCACGCCCACCCCAGACTCACGAATCCACACTCCAGATCCACGGTCATATACTCCAGACTTTCAAACGCCTACAGCTGACGTTAGCGAAGGGTATGTCTCTCCTCTCTCCACCACTTCAGAGGAGTATTATGAATGTAGCGACTCTCCTACCCACGAGTCTGTTTTTGATCAAGTGGCTTATCCCAACCACGGGACAATAGAAGATCATTTTAGCTTCACACACACAAATACTCCCAATGCTACAACAACAACTAGTCCTGCATACAATAACCATAGCACACAAGTTGCTAAATTAGGCACTGCAGACAAGAATACCTCTTGCAGTGAAGCACAGAGTTTGTCTGGGCCTTCTAGAGTCTCCTCTTCATCTTCTTTAGTTGAGAATGAAGTGAAAATTGGAGAGGAGGAAGAAACTGCAAATGAAAGAAATGGGGGGAATTTTGATGATGGCACAGAGAGGCGAGGCAGCGAGGAAACTAAGAGAGCAGCAAATCACTTTAAACAAGGAAAAGATTCGACAGGGGAAGTAGAAAAAAACAAGGAGAGCCAACCTCAAGCCCCCAAGAGAAAGAGGGCGCTAAACCAATCAGCAGTAGAGAAGCCAGTCGACGGAGTGACTCCAGGAGAATTAACCAGTGAAGGAGCAGAGCCAAAGCGATTGACCACAGTTGACCGTAATCCAAAAAAGCTTTCTGTGGAGGGTGAGACACCAGACAAAGAGAAGACAGTGGACCGGGTGGCTTTAGGACCCAGCGGCTTGGAGAGGAAAGAAATGCCCCTGTCAACTAGAGAGACAGAGGGACAGAAGGTATGAACAGTAAGGCAACAGAAGGTTTCATATTTATTTTCATAATAATTCCCGTCATCAAACAAAAATAACAATGCACCACCATTCAGGTTAATCTAACCAAGGTCATTTGTACTTTTTTAATTTTCTAATCATTTTGCAGTATTCTGTTCAGCGTACACCAGTGACATAAAGGGTAAGAACAGTTTATCTGTTTTTTGAGGGGACATGCTGTACATCTTTAAATGGCAATTTTTGTTTTTTTTAAACCTGGGCCTTATTTTCAAATATTTTGGAGTCGAATTAACTTGTCGGTACAAAAACTTTTGGAATCCGTGGAGTAGATGACGTTAGCCGTCAGCGGGCAAATCTGTCAAAATTACGTCCAAAAAAAGTGCTTCTATTTGCCACTGAAAGGCTCTGACCGTTATTCCAGGTGTCTGACAACATCACGGAAATGATCCGAGTAATACCCACTGACGCGCCTTGTTTTTAACCAGAAACAGATGTCTCGCTCAGAGACAGTTCTCACCATCTACTGCACAGATCTCGTTGAAAATGTTTTGAACCCACTAGTCATTTCGACTGAAAATTGAGCCCAGGTGTAAAAAATACCGAAATTACCCCTTCACTATATTTCATTAACTGTAGTCAAGTGGTGAAAGTAGTTTAACTGGGTTAGATGAAGAGAAAGTATTTTATCCCTCCTATTGGTGTTTCTTTGGTTAACCTTTATAGTTAGTGAGTCTCATCACGAAAGCGAGCTTGGATCTGTGTGTCTGACTATCTGTAAAATGGTGATTTATCGTTTTTGTAACATGTTAATAAGTTCTTTTTACAGGTGCTGGTAGATGAATATTGTTACAGCTGTTTTCCCATGTTTCCAGTCTTTGTGCTAAGCTAAAGTGACTGCCTGCTATCTGCGGTAGCTTCATATTAATTTCATTTCATTTCATACAGGCATGAGAGTGTTATCAATCTTCTCATCTAACTATAAATCATCAAATTGTCCTGGTCGGAGGTGAGACCTGGTGCAAAATTTCAGCTTAAGTCTGACGTGTCAGTGAGGTGTAACCACAATTAGCTCTGATCTGTTGATGCTCAGTCAGTTCCAAAGCCTGCTCGAACAGTCAAATTTAATAAAGTCAGTGTGTGCGTGTGCCTTTTTTAAATGCAATTTAGTGTCAAATGTTTGTGCATCTATCTTTTTATTGTGCAGTGTGCTATGCAAGTTTACCACTTCTGTTCTCGTGTGTGTATATCTAGGTCTCTCAAGTATGCATCACCAGAGCGTCACTAAGTTGAAACACACAACACTTTTTCATTATTGAACAAGGAAGACTGTGTGTGAATTAAAGTGACACACTTGTAATGAAGCGCTGTGCATGTTCACACTGAGTCAATATTAATGAACTGTAAAAGATTGATAGTGTAACATTTATTGGCATAGTTTATCTGAAAAGTCTATTGAAGCCAGTATAGTGTTGTTGGCATGTTTAAACTCAGTATGGTAATGTTAACAAAAGTGAAAACAAAGCCAATCTCACATTTGCACCCAAGTACCTCTCTTTTCCGTTTGCAACAAAGATTTCATGTCACTCGGCACTACATTTGTGAGTGTAAACATTTACACTCTATAGTTGATCAGTTGCCAGCATACTAATACTAACAGAAAACAATATGAGAAATTTGTGTTAATATATAATAATAATAAACCCTAATCAAATGTATTGATGCCTCATTATAATTACATTATACAGTCCTTCTGATCTCCATTTCCTGCTCTTTCTTTCGCCTAGCTTTTGCATACTCCTCCCAGACCTCCCCGAGGACAGCAGCAAGGCAGTAGAGCGACATCCCCTTCCCGACCATCCAGATCCCCTCGGCCCCTCTCAGGCCACCAGCTTTTGGGGTCTCGTCCCTGGGCAGGCCGTCAGCTGAACCAGGCAGAGAGCAAGGTTCTCCACTCTAGTTTCCAGGTCTTAGATAACACATCATCTCCTCGCAGACCGCCATCCAGACCACCTCCTCCAGTGGCAGTGGGCGCTGTCGGGTGTGCAGCTGGCCGGAAGAAGGCCGAAATTTCCCACAGCCAGCAGAGCCTCCTCTCTCGTCAGCCTCTAACAGCGCAGGGCAGGGCGAGAGCTGGACAGTCACTCAATCCTATCTCAAAACCCCAGTCCTCTGTTTTTCACACACACTCTAACATGCAACCTCATTCCCAGAACCAGACGGTGTCAGCGAGGGAGGCATACTGCCAGGAAGAAGGAAGGGCTCCATTTAGCTTCACTTTTAGCAGGCTGTACAGCCTCAAGGGCCTGAAGGACAAGATGAGCAAGCTGCCAGCACAGAGCAAGAGAGGCAGCACCAGCTCTCCGGTACAGGGACGTAAGAGCATGAGCTAGTCTGCTTACTCTTACTGTAATTACTGTAACATGTCAAGCCAAATTATATATATGTCTTTGAAAAAAAAAATACAAATTTACAGCATCTGTCCTGTTTATACAACAGCTCCTTTCTCACCCCAGGGTTACTTTTTACTAATGGCTTTAATGGATATTTGGACTTTGAACTTGTGTTGTTGACCTGCTCCTATCTTGTCTGATTGGAGACGCACTTCCACATAGCAGTTTTCAGTTTGAAACCACTTCTATGCACTATGCATTTGCTCATTGCTGGACCAGACCAAATGTGATTGGATAAGGGTTTTTTTCTTTTGGCCTCTCATTTCTAGAGATTCTTATTCATCTCAAACATTTGAAAGTCTATTCATGTTGAAAATCCAGCTGCCTGTCTGGAGGCTGGAGTTTTGTCCCATAGGAGGTCATGGCTGCCATGCTAAATTAATTGTTTGAATTAATGGAGTTTGTTTTGTCCCACATTTTCATGTGAGAATGTGGATGTTATGTGTTTAAATTATTCATATGACCAAACAAATTAAAATTCCAGAACATAAGTAAAGCATATATAAACCCAGAAGTTTTCCTTTTATATCTGGTCTTAAATAAGCTATAGCCTACATTTACTGTGGATTATTTTATTCAGAACGATTTCAAGGGAGATGTGGGAGATCAGATCTTTGACAGTAATCTGGCATCTCAGGGTGGTGCTGTGTGAATAAGAATTCAGGATAGTAAATCTACATATATATATATATTATATCTATATAATACACTGAATGAGTGAGCGTGATTTGTAAAAATGCAGGTTTAAAATAGGTACTATCACATAAAAGCCGTGAACCTATTTTTTTTTTTTTTTACATGAAAATGCACACATATACTGTATTTACAGATGTACTGTATTTTGTGTGACACGGATCAATGCTGAAAACTGCTGGAAGCTACAGACTCACTCTTCCAACATGGTGTTACAGGGATTTGCTGTTCATTACCACCACTTTACATTCTGGGAGCCAAAAAATGAGTAAATGTTAAAATGGTTAACCTAATGACAGGTAAATAAAATGAAAAACTGTTTGTATTTTGTTTATATGAGTTGTGTGGACTGTTTGTCCGATATTTGTATTATAACAAGCCTAGGTTTTCCTCGTCTGTGCATCACAAAGTGCTCATGATACAGTTGTGATTGTTAAAACTGTTGATGTAGAATTTTATCTTATTGTTTTAGATGTCTCAAAAATAGATTTTGGTTATTTTGTTTTCTTCAATTGTGTGCTGTACACCGAAAGACTAAAGCAGTTTGGTTATTGCCTTATTCTTTGTTTACACTGAATCCTATTTACATTCAAGATGCTGTTTTGCCTTGAAGAAAAAGTCACAGCGACTGTGCCCAAACACGGCCTGAGTTATCTGTAGAGACGAGCACAATAAACACCACACAGAATAAAGTTGTTGCTCTGAAGACAGATACAGATGTCCTGCAGATTATTATTAAAGTGCACGAGATGATGCCCTTGACTTGGTGCAGGACAAATAAACTTGTCGATGACATCAGGGACATGGCTGAATACATCATTTGTAAGTTGTTAAACAAAGCTGCAAATTAGAAAAGCTCCAGTCTGACAGTGGATTTGTGCACTTGCTGAATGTTTGTTTGCGTCTTTCTGCTAACCAGCTTTATTTGACTGCAGTCAATCCCCATATCAGTGTTTGGCTCTGTGAGTGTGTTCATGATGTTTTGGGTAGGATTTCCCAGTCTGTTCTTAAGCAAGGTATTTAGATGAAAACACATTTTATGCCAGTGCAAACTAGGACTGAATTCAAGTCTTCATTTAAAAAAAATTTAAAATATAGATATTACAAATCATGGATGGCTGACGTTTGGAGCTGTGAAAGGCTGCTCTGCACGCCAACTAAGATACTTGACATCATTGAAGCAGAAAAGGCGAAGATTAACTAAGCCTGGGATTTATCTCAGCGTAGAAATAGGCGAGTAGAGTTACTGTACAGACCCACTCTGTGGTTTTAGAAGCTTCAGTCATCTTTCACAACACGTTGCAATTCTGTAAATATCAGTTGTAATCCATGTCAGACACGGTGTTCTGTTGTGTTGTGAAGAAATTTCCAATAGTAAATAGTACATTCCAGATGATCTCAAAGGATATTTTTATCTGATGTTATGTAATATTCAGAGATGGAGCACAAAGGCTCCTGAGGTTGTGTGATTTGCATGAAAATCTGCAGCGGAGGTGAGATGATTTGTTTATTTTCACAGTAAAAAGAAGTGGGAGAGTTTTAATGCGTGAAAGGACGGCTGCAGTTTATGAGAAGTTGCTTCCGTGTGCCATAAAAGCTGGTGGCATGCAAGTAGAGACAAGGGATGCATCCGACACCTGACTGACTCATCTGAATTTGCATTTTTTAGGTAACAAGAGGAAGAGATATGGAAAGAGATAGGAGTGCAAAGACACAAACTGTACATGCACACACAACTCATTTTCACACACTATCTGCGAGAATACCTGGATGTTAGCTTGTTGGCTTCACTCCAAATAATTAAAAAACTAATTATCATTTTAACCTCTCTTAGCGAAATAAAACCAAATCATTTGTTGAGAATTTGATACATGGACTGGACAAAATAATGAAACACCTCATGCTGACAAATGCTACAATCAAAAAGATTTTTTGCTTTCTGGTGGATAGTTAGACAACAGGATCAACACCAGGGGTGATTTTAGACCATTTTCAGGGGTGCTGAAGCACCCCTAAAAAAAATAATTTATTATTATTTTTTGAAAATAATTTTTTTGTCCCCTAATTTTTGATTTTGGAGAAGTAAGAGAAGGGACAATCAATTAGCCTACAGTTTCATATGTTTTTTTTTTAATTAATTAATTAATTTTTTAAATTAAACGGTTTAATGTCCCTGAATACTGGCATCTTTCTAATGTTTACCTAATGATCCGCGACCGTGCTGGCCGAGTCAGTCTAGGGCATAGGAAAGCAAAATCCAACATGAGGTCTCATAGTTGTTTCCTTCTTTTCTCCTAGACACAAATGAGTTGCTTTTAATACCAAGATGAGACCAAAGGCCTTTTCTCCCACTTCTCAAATTCATCTCAGGAGAAACAACCATATAAAATGTCATTTATGTCTGTCTCTGATCAAAACAAGAGATCTCTAACTGATCTTAAATAAGTCTAATTTAAGTCTCCTGAACATTGGACCATGAGATCAGAGAAACAGCTCAAAGAAAACTCAACTATGACTCCTGGGATCTCATGATTCTTCTCAAATATGTCTCAGTTTTCTCATATTGGCCTCAGTCGCAAAAAACTCATTCACTCTGTCTTACTCTGATCAAAGGATGAGATCTCTACAGTATCTTAAATAACTGTAATTTCAGTCCAGAATATGGATCAGAAAAAAGCTCCAAGATATTTCTCAGTTTTGTCTTAGTGAACCCACTTAGGGGTTATTTTACTCAAGTACTTTACTTACGTCAAATTTTGAGGCTGAGTATTTTCTTTTTATGGGGGTTTGTACTTTTACTCCCCTTAATTTCAAATCCTTATTGTATTTATTGTTAATTATCTGTTACAAGTTACTGAGAAAAATTAAATAAATTTTGACATTGAAAATAATGCACTTTCAAATGTCATGTTTTCCAATTGGTTAAGGTCACAGCCAGCATAACTGGAACACCCAATACTTTGACATGATGTTTAGAGATCAATTCATTAAGGACCAAATGCACGCAAGAACTGAGATACAATATGTATCTGTCATACAGAATAGCACTTTTACTTTTGATCCTCAAATCCAGCTCAGGACCTCCAGCATGGTTCTCTAAGCACAGACAGTAATGTGATACAATCAAGCTCACGAACATCTCCCTAGAGCTTCCAACTGCTCTTTAGGAGCAATAAGTAAGACATTAATGAACTCAAAAAGATACAATGATGAGATCTCATCTGTTACTTTCATTTATCCTATTGTAATCTCAATTCAGTATCCATTTATCTTACCCAAGTCTCAAAACCTAAATCTCTCTTCATCTCATCCTTTTCTCCTAAGGGGTTTTAGGAGCAACAATTCAGATTGGAGTGATCTCAAAAAGATATACTATTGAGATCTTAGTGTTTTCTCAAGAGTTAAAGAAAAGACTATTCTGAGCAAAAGATTTTTCTTCTGGGAGGGCTGGGCCGAACTACTTTCAATATTGAGGGGGGGGGTGCGAGCAGCCCAACATACATACTCCAAAATAAAGATATTCATTAACAATTAAATAATACTGACAAATTAAACTCAATCAGCAACACAAAACTACTTCCTTAAAAGAGAAAGCAAGCATGTAACAAGATTTAACTGAAAATACAACAATGAACACTTAGTTTAGGGAAACACTTTTAACACCATCCCTCCTCCAAGGGAGTAAACACGAGCGCACAGCTCCACACTGCTGTCTGGTCCTAACTGTCCACCGAACCAACAGGGGTCATTTACACTTTACACATTTTGAAATGGCTGATTTTGTCCCCATCACTTTTTGAAAGCATTTGTTAAAAGTTTTCTAAAATATAATTTACAGCAAGAAATGTTAACTAGCAAATGAAAATGCTTTAAGAAAGACATGCAATGCAATACAGTATTCCTCATATAAAAACAGACATTTCCACCATAAATTGGAGCACAAAATGTCTCCAGAATGCAGGAAATTACCAGTTTAATGCAAAAATCTTCTGGGGGAGGACACCCAGACCCCCCACACGGATACTTCAGCATCAAATATTTTACCTAAACAGAGCTAAAAATCTTCTTGTCTTGTTCTTGTGCATCGTCACGTCTCATGACCCAAATGTATCATCAGCCCCTGATCTGAGCCCTTGTCCCCACCGCTTTTCAACACAAATTGACGCCCTTAACTGACCCGCTCCGCTCTGCGCTAGCTCCTGCCTAGTAGGCCTACTTATTGTCTTCACAAATTAGTGAACACTTTTGCAAGGGATTGTATGCATGCTACATTCTCATTAGGGGCTGAGCACCCCTAAAGGTCTGATCCTAGAATCGCCCCTGATCAACACCACACTCATATCTGTCCATTACATGTGAAGCTGCCAGTCGCCAGTTAGCTTAGCACAAGGACTGGAAACAGCAAACCTGGCTCTGACCAAAAGTAACAAAATCTGCGAACCATTTATTTAAACCGTACAGAAACTCAAGTGTAAAAATTGGTGGTTTTGTCAAAGCCAAGAAATAGCACATTATAACACTCCCACAGAAAGTCACAGATTTTATTCTTTTTTTACGGATTAAACAACAACTACCAAGGCTAGTTCCTGCTTCCAGTCTTTGTGCTAAGTGAACTGGCAGCTGGCTGTCGCTTTACATTTGTCATACAGACTTAAAAGTGGTATCAATCTTCTCTTTTAAGACATGAAACAGTGCTCCAAGAGACCAAAAAACTGCAGGTCATATTTATTATTATATATTTTGCAGATGCCAAAAATTACAATATGCTACATGTACTCTGTATCAACAAAGAAATGATGTGTGAATTTGATTTAGTGGTGGAACAAAAGAAAAAAAACATTTAGTCATATAGACATACAGATGAAATATGTTTTATGAATAGTTTTCTGGGTCACACATCCAGATTTTGAATGAGTCAGACAGTCAAACACACTCACACTCATATCATGCTGGGAGGAAGCAGGGGGAGAGAAGAGCGGTGATTGAGATGCAGAGTGCAGAGAGATAGAGAAGGAGAGAGAAACCGACATCCCTCGTTCTTATCTGAAGTGACTGAGAGGCAAACGGAGAGGAACAGAAACAAGCTGCAAATAAAGTAAGAGGCAGGGATAGATGGAGAGACAGGGATAGACAGCAAGAGACACGGGAACATCAAATCTGCAAAATAGACTTCAGCATCCACGGATAGGCTTCTTTACGAGTTCACCTTTCAACTTTTTATGTATGTTTTTTTTTAAGTAATCAAAATCCAATTGGTTTGTTAGTTGGACTAAGTGTGCTATGCAACAATGTATTAGTACACCTCACAGTACAACCTTCCCTGTCTGTGGCTGCCGGTCCTAAGTCCATTGGTTCCTACCGGATGTTAAACAAAGTTGTCATAAATAAATAGTTGCATTTCTTTTAAGGCAACGTAATTTCTTAAAACAGCTGGGCACTGTGGTTTTTAGCTAAAGCTTCTTAAACAGGAGGTATTAAACATTTGTTGAGGGCTACTTTGCGCCGTGGATTAATGCAGATTTGTTGCTCCACTGAGTATTTACAGCAGCAGGATTGTGTATGTCAGACTGACTCAAAATAAACAGTGGCCACATTTATGGTAATGAAGGACCATGTCACAATTCATTACTGATTTTGGTCTTTTCATGGACTTGTTGGCAATAAGGTAAAATATGGAATATCACTAACCTAATAATGATGTGTACAGTTTTAAA